CGTTTTCCAGCTAGGCGAAAAAATCGAAATGTGCTCGATAGCTCGATTTACGGACCGATACCACTCGCTGTCGCTGTTTGCCTACAACTTGGAGTTACTCCGACTACGACTCTTGCCGACCGACATAGATATTCCCTCTCCATCTTCCGCTCGGTCTTCCTATTAGGAAAGTAGAAATTGAGGTTTCTGAAATTTTCATCGAATCACGACTGAGTCGCATCTTCGGACGAACGTCTCTTCAAAATGCCTCCCAACGCTTCCGATGAGATCTCTGACGATACTACCCGCGAGCCAAGTGCGATCGTTCGAAGCTCGGCCATCGTTCGTTTCTTTCCCGAATTTCTCGAGAATGAGACCTACCGACAAATCGAAAACCCGCCCGCGTCGCGAGACAACAACTCAATTCACCGTCAATTACTAAATCGCGATACGGTTCGCGGCGCGAGACGATAAGCGACCCGTTTCGAGTCGGTAGCACGCGCCCGTTACGCGTTGAACAATTTGCATATCGCCGTTTGCAAATTTACGATCGCGAGTCGCGCGGAAGAATCGACAGATTCCGACTTCTGTTCACCGTGGTTGGTCGGTCTCGAAGGCGCTCCGCGACATAATTATTCATACGCGATGCCGGGGAACGCGACAGGGGGAAATCGATCGTTGCAACGGTTGTTGCATCCCCGCGCGATACACTCGCAAGATCTGCATATCGTCGTGGATATTTATGAACTCCGACGAAGAATCGATCATTCCACACGCGGCGGCGGAGTCGACATTGTTACTCACGGGGTGCGAATAAATTAGCGCGAGCCTGACAGGATCGTTTATCGAATATGTTGCGGCAACTCGATCCTTCTGGCGCTCCGGTATGTTGCAGGTCAAGGAGGTCGTCGTTGGTTTCCGAACAAGTAGCCGTCTAAAAATCATTCTCGACGAGGAACCCTCGCGCTTTTCTAGCAAAAGTCGAGAGAAAGATCTCTCATGATCGGAATCTGATCTTCTCCGTGAACACCGACGGTGACCTTGAGGTACGATCGAACGTCGTGTTCCGATGTCAGAAGACGTTCGGTCCAATTGGAACTTGGCAGCGCAATTGAACGCTGATCTAGCGTCCTCCGACGAAGGAGCGCTATATTTAGTCGCAACGGAAACCTTGTTCGAGCCTTGTTAGTCGAGTTCTCCGGGAAGTCGACGCGGTTGACCAAGAATTCGTTAACCTGTCCAATCGTGGCAATTGTGACCGGCCGATGGTGTTTCGTCACGGTCGCGATTCGGTTGAAAGCGCGCGAGCGCGCGAGAAGAAAGCAGAGATCGGACGACAATGTTTCGCGTTGATAAATCAGATCGGAGAAAGTTACAACCCCAATTAACCTCGGTGATACGGAATGACTCGTGCTCCGAGTTCGTTGAACCGATCTCGGAGGAGAACGAGCTCGAACGCCACGAGCGAAGCGTTTTGGTTCGTCCACCTGATAGGGAAAACCTGACGTTTGGCGAACCGAATGGGTAGGTGTTTTGTAATCCCTGCTACCGATTCGAAACGGTGTTGATTCTTCGCGTTGAAGCAAATCCGAATCGACATCTCTTTGTCGGATTTTGTCTGTCCGTGGTCGACCTCGAAACTTGTCGCGTGACAAAGAAGATTCGGTCAATAAATTGATAGCAAACGGTTCGTTTGGCATAGGTCGATCGTAATTCACGTGTCACTCAGCGATGCGCAGTTTCGGGCCTGGTTTTTTTTTTTTTTTTATCGAGGTGATTGACTCTTCTGCAAAGGTCGATTGGGAACCGTGCGATCGCGCGTTTCGAAAAGCGTAGATCTCGGATCGATCGGTCGAGACGCGCAGTCTATTACAAGGACTAATTCGATGAAACAATTAATCGAGCACCTTCGATAGGACGTTCCAAGTAAAGGGAATAGAATTTGCATCGCAAATCTCCGGATGAAACAACTTCCGACAACGTTGCTTCTCCTCGAAGGTAGACCCGTCTAGGTTGCGATCGAACACGACGATCGAAAGTATCAAAAGCGACGGTTTGGTCGTTGGTCGCGGGAACGATCGGATTCGTTTCGAATTTCTTCGCACCCATTTGCATGGAGGAGCCGGTTCGATGAACCCGAGCAGGGGTCAATTCGGAGCGGGCCCTGGAACTTCCTCCAACGAGACCTAACCCGGCGAAACCTCGACCCGACATTGAGGCAATGAATTACGAAAATGATTAACGGGGCGCGGGGGGGGGGAGGGAGGAGGAGGAGGAGGAGGAGGAGGAGGGAGGGACGGGAGGGACGGGAGAATGAAAGCGTCGCGTTTCGGACGCCGGCGCTTACGCATCGGTCGAATATCAGCGAGGCGCAAAAACATCGAGCCGAAACCTACGTCAAACTTCGGTTAACGGTTTAACGAAGAGAGCCATTGTCCGTGAAGCTCGCGGGGAATTGGGCCGAATTGCGTCACGAACCAGCGACGAGAAAGTGGAAATTACAAACGGCCGGCGCAAAGAAACGTACCGCTACGTGATCGGAGTCACGAGGCGATCGCGATCGAAGGGACGAGAACCGTTCGATGCTTCCAACGAAACTAGACGCGGTTTTCGAGGTGGCCACGAATCCCTCCGCGAGCGTCGATATATATCGCGAAACCAAGTCTGCTCCCCCCCCCCCTCCCCCCACCCCCTTCTCCCTTCCGTCTCTCTCATTCACTCCAGGAATCCCCCGTTCCCTTCGGTCTGTTCTCTCGGTTCGTGTTCAGTCTTTCCTCCCCCTCTGGGGTCTGTCGTGCAATAGCGAGTTCAACGAACCCCGGGATGACGTGATACTGCCATGTTGGGAATTTATTATCTGACTCCGTTGTCCAACGACCCCCGCTTTTTGTGTATCGCGACGCAACCAGGCCGCTCCGGGTTAGTTCCTTTCCGATTTCAACGGGGGGAGAATCGGTTGCTCGGCACGCGCCGTCACGTGGCGTGGATCGCGGCCTTAGGCGTGGATTTTCACGGTAGCGATCGGGGGAACCCGGCTGCTGGCTGCATCCAAGGAATTCCATGGAATTCGGACAGGTGGTGGTCGCGCGTACAGGTCGTACGATTTGTACTCGACGAGCGTAGCGCGCGAAGACTGACCGGTCCCGATAGCGGGCCACGAGGAAAGCCTATGCGGTTCGTGGACACCGAAAACGTTTCTTGGCATCGACGCGTAGTGTTGCGTGGGAATTTTTTAGGACGTGACACCATGTGAATCGTAGATGGAACGTAGTAGGTACTACGTGATTTGTCATCGTTGCGTTTGATCGTTGTTCCGATAGATCGACGGAATTAGTATTCGTCGGTGCTTTTGTTAGAGAGAACGGACTTTTACTCGGGTCGTTGCTCTGTATACGAAAGACGATTAACGCTGCTCCTATCCGAAGAATTTGCGGCTGAAATTTCATCTAACGCAGGTGTAGAACATCGTTACGATTCCTAGGAACCACTCGAATTACGTGCACGGAGCATTTTCGCTATCGCGAGAAGCGTTCGCGTTTCGTGTGTTTATCTACCGGTTCGTAGTACGCTAAACATTCTTTTACGCAAAGACTCGTACTGCGAAGCGACGAAAAACAGAAACGAGAGATTATTTCCGGTTTAAATGTCATCGTTGATAGAGCGCAGCGTTTTCCAGGCACGTCAGACGTCGTCCAACCAGAAATTCACTTCCCTCTTGCGAGTCGGGTTTTCTATTCTCCTTGGAAACCCATTGGAAGGTTGCATGATCGATTCCGCTTATATGGGCCCGTGCGAGTGAAGATGTCTCGCGACGTCGCCTTAATCGACGGATCGAGTCATTCCTCCCAGCTTTCGAACGGCCTTGTAGAAACCGTTTTCCCGTTCCTGATCGTCTCGTCAAACATCCATCGGTCGAGACGCTGGACGTTGCCGTTGTTGTTGTCGATGCGATCGAATGCAGTCGCGTCGCGAGGCAATTAAAACGTGAATTTAATCGCGTTCCTACGAGTTATTCGTCGTTTCTTGGAAAATATACTGCTCGAAAGTATTTTTCGTTTTCCTTCGATTGAAATTACGTTCGAGTGAGCTTTCTTGTAACATAGCTCGACTTCGCACGCTGTGGACTCCAGTACAGAGTACTGGAGGGGTTGACAAACAATTAGATTCGTAATAACAATGACGTCCCGTCGGAGCTATTTCGCGACAGCAATTAAGACGGACACGCGTTCCGCATGGAATCAGTTAGCGTCATAGAGGATCTGGCTCGATTTCAAACGATATTTTCGAGCCAGTCGGAGGTATACTATACGGAGACGCGAAAAATTCTCTCCGATTGTTCTTGTTTTCGCTATTTCCATATCTCGTCGACCGGATTCATTAGCGTCAATTTTGCGAAACGCTAATGGGTTGTCTTGAGTCACGGTGTCGTCGCTTTCGCCACTCCCAGACGTTTTCGAAAGGTGGAATTATCTGCATCGTTATCGCGTTAAATACGATATTAACATCGAAATAGCTGCAGCTGGTCTCGAAAATTAACGAGCAAAACGTTGAGGCGAAACATTAGCTTCGGAAGACGTTTCGATTCCCAATTAAGGAGAAGAACTCAACCCCGAGTTTCGTCGATTGAAATTATTCTAGAGCCAATTTAAATTGCCGTAGGTGAATCTTAAGTGCTCCTAAGCAATCGTTCCTTTGCAAGAGAAACACGAGAAGAAGAATTATTTTTTAGTTTAGAGGGAAAAGGAGAATTACTTTTACGATTATTATGTACCAGCTCGTGGAAATACCCAAACATCGAGACGCAACGTTGAAATTATTCCTCTCGAATTCTTTGGCGAAAGATGTTTCCAATTAGAAACTATCCCCCACGGAATCTGTCCGAAGGAGGGTAGGTCGGTAGATTGGCGAACAAAGAGAGATGGTACCAATTTTCCAAGGGACGGGCAGAGTCCTGCTGGATAACGAAAAACACGTTGATCGAACCGGCCAATTCAGCGTTTCCCGTCTTTTGTCTGTTGCAGAGTGGAAAGCTCAGCGTTGCAGTTGGTGTACCCGCTGGATTCTCGTCCGGTGCAGCTAATCTTCCGGGGGTTGCAGGTGGTCAAGGAGAAAAGAGCCCTCCTCCGAGATGTCTCTGGCGTCGTTAAGCCAGGCGAGCTCTTGGCCGTCATGGGCCCTTCAGGTACGACGCCGTCGATAGATTAAGAATACCTTTTTCTTTTTTTTTTTTCCTTATTAGCCTTGTTTCCGGTCCTCGGTAATCCTTCAATTTCGGGACAGATTGGCCATCGACGGCACGGGGAGAAACTCCCGTCCGTTCCGTTTCGAGTCGATTCGAACCTCGATCGAGAGATCGTCGCGTGGATAAGCTCGAGCCGGTGGTATCTCTCATCCGGGTGGATTTTATTTGTCGGGGATTTACGTTTTGCTTCGAAAGCGATTCGCGCGGTACACGGGCGTAGCTGAGTTTGGACAAGCTTGGTAAATCGATCTCGCGGGGATGGAGGATAAGCGGATGGTTCGCGACGCGATGGAGTTCTGAGAAACGAGCGAAGTAAATATTTGAAAGCGATATCGACGACGGTACGTCGCGATTTTGCGCTTTAAGACATTCCCGGACACGTTATATTCCTAAGTTATCGAAAGACGAGAAGAATAATATTTTCATGAGCACCTTTTAACAGTTCATACTTGATCTATAGAAACGGTTCCTATAGATATTCTTGACGAATATCGTTAAATTCGTTAGCTCAATTTAGATTTCTATTATTCTTTTCGTATATTATCTGTCCTTTTATCTACAAATCCTATTTAACCATTGCTGCACGGAATGATGGCTTTAAACGCATACGGAATATGCGCATATCATGTACATACATATATTTGCATGCAAAATATATGTCCCAACTCCGTTTACATATAACTAAAAGAAAGTACTCCGCGCTCGCGGATAGAAGACCCATTTTGTTTCGCAATTCTCGATGTGTGGCTATACGGGTACAGCGCGAACGAAAGGGTTAACTACGATAGCATTGTACTCGTAAATCACAACGGTGCATATATCGCAAACACACGGACTCGCGCGCACGCACCGACACCTACACGCGTACGCCTATCATCCGACACCCAAAGCTCTGACACGCACTTGGCTGAAAACCGATCCTCGCATCCAAGTCACTCGATCGCTATCCTAAACACTTATCGTTCGCGCTCGAGGCTCGAAAAGTTTATTCACCCCGTTGTTACGCGACGACTCACGTTTTGCAACGCGATACGCGACGTAGCTCGAAAGTGCCGACCAGCGGGTTTCAGGGTTCAGCGGATCGACGACCGCGAATCTTGACCTACTGGCGGACAGAAAAATTAGGCCTGGCTCCGCTCGAATTATTCGCTATTGGAATAATTTTGTCACGACGCGGACAAATGCGAAATTCGCGGATCGGAACGGCCTCTCGATCGCGATCGCGCGAAACTTGGTCGTTTCTATCTTTAGAAGATATCTTTCCGCGCGGTAACGAGACGGTTGCGTCCCCCCGAGCGATATATTATCGCGAGATTCCTCGTTCCCCTCGATACTCGTTTAACAAGCCAGCTCGCAACCCCTGCGCGTTCGCGCAGGTACAAATCATCCGGTGCTTTGCTGTTTCACGGTTTGTCGTTAATGTCGCGTTCAACGAGCCGGACGGTGCATTCGCCGCTGTATATCTCGGCTCAGCCACGCGAAACGATTCTAGGAATAAAATGTACCATTCCAGCGGCGCGTTTCAGTGGAACGTTGACTCGAGGGCGCCGTTGAAACACGGTCTCGTCTTTGGTAGCGAATAGGTGAATCAGTCGGGCTGCCGCGAACGGGTACACTGAAATGTTGCCGGGGTGACTCGGACCTTGAGCTCTGCACGATACTCGCGTGACTTTCTGGGTAATTGACAGTCGCGGGATATTTGTTGAACGATTCGAGTAGACGGCGCCTGGGAGGTTGTAATATTTCCAGTCTTCGTGGCAAGCTTACAGGTCGTGTCACTTTCAACGTCGATTTCATCGCGAACAACGAAACGATAAGTATAAATTGTATATCGTTTCGCTACGAATTTCGCCGCGAAATTGAATTAGGCGTAGCCTATATTCTTCGTCGACGCGATCTCTGGTTCATCGCTAATGGTACATTCCTTTTTTTTTTTTGCACAGGTTGCGGCAAAACCACATTGTTGAACTGCCTGTCAGGTCGGGTGGGAGTGGACGGCGGTGAAATCTGGTTGAATCGCGAGAGGTTGACGAAAAGATGGCGCAGAAGAATTTGCTACGTGCAACAGCAGGACGTTTTCTTTCCCGATCTCACGTTGCGGCAGACTCTCGAGGTGAGTCTCTCTTTATCGTTAAAATTCATCCAGTTCGCGGCAATCGTTGGAATATCATGAAACGGAATTAAAGCTAGCGAGGAAAGAACGGTTTCTTTCGTACGGAAACTAACAATAACCGCGAAAACAGCAAACGCTCTGCTCTACTCGTACGTTCAAGTAGAAATGGACGAGCATAGTCAGACATCGTTCGAGACAATACCTTGGCGCGCTCGCGAACGTAAGGGGAAAAGGAAAACAATGGCCGGACAAGCGCTGAAATAGGATCCCTGACGTTCCTGTTTTGCTAGCGAACATAGAAGAATTTCCTCGTTTTCCGGGAAAATCGCGCGGCAACCGTGCCAAGTTTATCGCGCGAAAATTAGGAGGACACCTCGCGCTAGGGGATCGCGTGGAATGCGGGCCGAAAGCCAACGAACATCGCCGTGTTTCGAGGATTTAAGTTTCATTCAGTCTGGAATCGAAGGCGATACACTCGGTGTTCGGTTAACGCTTGCTTTACCCATGCGTATCGTATACTCGGTTCGAGCAGAAAATGTTCAAATACCACGGTACTCGAGTAACGTTTAAACGGTGAAGAATTTTTGTTATTCGATAACAATAAATACTTTTCCATTCGTCGATTCGACGATCGGTTTTCCTTAGCGTTGTTCCGTAACTGTCGTTGCTTCGAGGCTACGACAGTTACAGAGGCGCCATCGTAGTCCAGTTTCCTTCTGGCCGAGAGACGACCGCTGTACGCGCGGCGAAGTATCATCGGCCGCCACTTTCTCTCTCCGCATAACGGATCCTCTTGTGTAACGGACTCGCGCGTCGAGAAAATGGCACGTCCGTCCGCGTTGGTTCGCGGCGCAGGGTGTGTCGATCACGGCTCCGTCACGTCGCGTCGAAGCTTTAAAGCTGCTGGCACACGTGCACTTGAACCCTTTACCGATCAAACATTCGTCGAATGCAGTTTCAATGCTATTCGATCGAAGGCACTCTTCCTTCCACATTGATCGGATTTCCTTTCGTCGTGCTATTAAATATTAAATGACCGCCTAGGAATGTCGGAGACATTATGAATCATCGAATCGCCTGTTTAACGTTGAATTAAGCGAGACAATCGTCGATCTTTCGCATAGTTGCGTTCTTCTATCGAGGAATGAAATGGAATCTACGCGCAGCATTGCGCGCAGTCGATGGTGGCTTATTCCCTGTCTCGGTCGTTGAACGACAAAGGTGTGGCTCTCGTCACACCGACAATTTCGACTTTCCTCTCTCGTTCGAGGATGTCCAGCTGCTGCATCACGGCGATCGGTGTGTTTCTCTTTCTTTCGCAATCTCGGGTTCGATGTGTTTCTTGGCAATTTCTAGGATTATTTCACCGTCGTAACGCAAATGCGTTGGATCGTGACTTGTTCGCTCGATTCAACCTTTTCCATTCGGTCACGCGTACGGCGACGCAAGGTACCGCTAACCAAAAATCGAAGAGATCGCCGAGAAGGAGCGGAATCGGGTGAAGCATCGGCAAGGGCGTTATCGTAATCGATTCGACGATCGCGATTACGAGCGAGGCTGGAGCATCCCCGAGGGTGCGTGTCGGATGATAATAATAGAAGCAAAGTGGCCCGGATGTTACGAAACGGAAATGCACGTCCACGCCGCCGGCTGTTGCTTACGTTACTGTTTAATGCGTAAACGAGGCCGACCAGGTCGAAGACGGCCGGCGCCGAACGATACCGATCTATCCCAGGTTGCTCTCGCCACCGACATAATCGCGTCTATCTTTTTCGTGGGTTTCAGTACCAGGCCAGGCTGAGGCTTCCGGACACGTTCTCGCACTCTCAGAAGATGCAGTGCGTGGATCATATCATCGAGGTCCTCGACCTCGCCGCCTGCCAAGACACCAGTGAGTATAGACCCGGCCGATCGACGGATCGTGCCAAGCCCCTTATTTCCCAACGGCCTGTTTTTACCTATCGCTAGTTCTCCGTCTAATTTTCGATCGTTTTCTTCGAACTAACGCGAGAACAGAGCCCGGTGTCGGGTATCGATAGGTGGATTGGGAGAACATAGAAGAACGAGGACGTCCGATTCGTAATGATTTTCTATTCTCGTTTTCGCGCAGATCAAAGTCCCTGTATCGGGACCAGTACACAAAATTGTCCCACTTTCTTCGTTCCCGAGACGCATCCGCGTAAATCCGCCGTAATTTGTTTATGCACGCGAACCGAGAACCCCCGTAACAATTTACGACTTCCACGGGCAAGAAACGATCCGCTGGCTTTCAGTGGACGGGGAGCCTCGCCGTTGCCGCGATTTTGATTGACGATTTCCGCGATCGTAACTCATCCACCTCTCGCCCGTAAACCTGGGTCCCAGACGAAACTGATCGCTGATACTTATTCCCGTTTAAATAAAAAAAGCTCGAGCGATCTTGACGCGTCCTTCGGACTTCCCACGCGGAGACGTCTCTCCGCGAAGAACCTCATTCGAATATCCAAGGATATTCCTACCCTTTTCGCGCGGGACGTTCGAGACGAATAAGATTCCGTCTGGCAATTAATTTTAATTAATCGGGAGTAAGGGACAACGGGAACGTTTGCGCGTGTCTTCGTCGTTACTCGTGCTGCTACAGCGTTTTGTTTGCAGTCATTGGAGATTACACGAAAAGAGGACTCTCCGGAGGCGAGAAGAAGAGGACGAGCATAGCCTGCGAGTTACTCACCAATCCGTCGCTAATGTTGCTCGATGTAAGCCATTTAATCGCATCAGCTACTTTCTACGAATTATTTTGTTCTCGTAATCGTTTCCCGAATTCTCTATATTGAATATTCGAGCGTAGTAAAAAACGGTGAGGTCGTTTCAACGACGAAGCGTCTCTAAGGAGACGACAAATTGCATTGTCGTCGCCGTAGAAGGAACGGAACGAGATTAACCTGTATGCTGTCGCTTCCCCAGGAACCAACCAGCGGGCTGGACTCGCATTCAGCACAGGCGCTTATTTCACGACTGAAGAAATACGCGGAGCAGGAGGGCAAGAGCATCGTGGTGACAGTGCATCAACCCAGTTCGAGGATGTTCCACAGCTTCAGTAAGCTTCTTCTGTTGAGTCGGGGTCAGGTGGCGTACTATGGCTCGACGTCGAATATCGGCAGGTTTTTCTCCACGATAGGACTGACGCTTTTACCACACTACAACCCTGCCGACTTTATACGTGAGTACTTTGCGTTGCTTCGAACAACGAGACTATAGAAAAATTCATTTGTATTTCACGAAGGACGAGTAAAATTTGCTAGCATTCGTTCCAAAAACGACAGAAACGAATAATAAAGTATGACTGCATTCGCCTCTACGCGAACACGGCTTTTGCGTGATCGTAGCCGTGCAGTTATAAAGTCGCAAAGTGCAATAATAGTTAACGAGGCGGGCCCGGTAGAACGATTAAAAAGACCTCGTCGCAAGGTCGAGAGTTTTACGGTTCTCGAATGTAACGGGTAGATCGTGGTACAACAGAGGAACGTCCGATTGTTTCAGTGGAGCAAATAAAGGGGCCAGAAGAGGTTCGGGATCGCATCGTAGCCGCTGCGAGGAACGCAAGACAGGGACCCGACTGCCCGCCGGAACTTCGTCCGGAATATAATCCCAGCCAACATCCGCTCTGCGACCATCTCATCCATTATCACGAGCACCACATCAGCCACAACGGTAAAACGTAGTCTACGACCTGCGGTCGTTCGTTAGCTCGCGTGCATGCACGGTTTCTCTTGTAAATAACCGGACCGACGCTGGGAAAAATTAAGCCAGACGAATAATTGCTATACTCGTTCTTTAAACGGTAGAGCTACGAATATTCAACGTTCTTTGTTCTCCTCTATCTTCTCTTTTGAATCGTTCGCGAGTTTTTGTTAAAATTTCAACGACTCGCTATCGAACAAAAATAATTCGCCTGTCCTTAGAGACGAAACGCGAATTTCCCGCGAGACCGTCGAAGCAACTTTCAGCCCTTCATTCCGTCGATGATTTACAGCGAAGGAAGACGAAGGTCGTACGCTGTGGTTGGACACGCAAAGCCACGCCAGCAGCAGCGCCAGTTCCGCGGACGACGACTATTCCTGGCAGTGGCCCACCAGTTTCTGGTCGCAATTCAAAGTGAGTACCGCGAATGTTTTCTGTAATCAGACTCGTAACTACCGGCGCAGCGGGGTTTATTATTCCGCATAAAACCAAATAAGAGAGCCGAGCGAAGCTTTACGGCGAAATAGAGACGCGAGAGGGTGTTCTTTCGGCGAATCCTTTATCGATTACTCCACGAGCTACGGGAGGACGAGGAAACTTTTTGCGAGAGATTAATCTTTCTATCTGGGAAGATGCAATAATGCGGTAAAGACTTCTGGAAGATGAATCTTCCGGCTGAAAGTGTTGACTCTAGGTAGATCTACGGTTCTAGGATGATGAACGTTCTACAAATATTATCCCGACAAACGTACGGACCTTGTTTGCTCGGTATCGTAAGATGTTAGGGTTTCTTTTCGCGCTTGTCTACTTTCCAAACACGAATTCGATTAAAAGAACACGCGTTCGAATGCGCGAAAAAATCATCGCCGTGTTTGTCCGATAATATTTAATAAGTAAATCTAACGTTGGTAATATATTTTATAGTCGATCTTGTTCGGTCTTAAAAAAAAAAAAAACTGCGGTACCGATTATCGAAAAAATGGCACAGAATTGCGACGCTACCCGATGGTAAGCGAAGAATGTGGAAATTATGTAGGGCAATGGCGCAGTTTCATAGGCCATCGTCGTTTCGTGTATCTAGGTGAACGAAGCACGTGGAGATATCGGTATTGGAAGCTGGCCGAAGGAGAGATCGAAAAGTTCGATTGCACGCGAGAAATTAATAGAGCATGGAACGGTAATATGAAAATTTAGATGGGTGGTCTGGTATGCGAGAGATAATACCGCTGGTAAATGGAAATGACATCAGAATTCAAGTGTAATGCTCGCATTAAATTCGTATCAGTCGTCGGCTGTTTAAAACGAGACTATTAACGCATTCCAGATAACTTTCAAGGCAGCGAAGTCTCGTTGTTCGTTTCGTCGAAGGTGTTGCGTTGCACTCGGCTCGAGTTCCCCTCGCGACAACGCAATTTTCGCGCAACATGTTCTCCTCGTTGAAAATTTGATCGAGCAATTTTCTCGCACCGGAGAATGGAAGCAAAGTAATCTCTCTTCGCGCTGGAAATTAACTGGATCGAATTAAAAACGACGCCAAGCCGAATTAAACCGCGAGCGTCACCGCGCGAAAGTTACGATCACGCTTTCTTGGATCACGATGTACGCGACATTCGTAGTTGCCGAATCGACGAATGAAAAGTGCACGCGCAACGCGGTGCTAAAGAGGACCGACCGCGCAGAATGGGGATCTAGGTCGCGTTTACACGATTCGCCATATCCGGATAATTACCGCGACCAGTATGCCCGTTTGCGATGATGCCGCTCTTTGTACGAACGCACCTCGCCACTTGCATCACTTTTACCCGACGGAACCGTTCTTCCACTCGCGTTTCAGCTCTATCGAGGCGGAGAGTGTTTCACCCTTTCCGCGAATTCCTTCACCGTTGGATTCGTAGCGGCGATGCGTGCGAAGCTGGCTTTCGACCGATTAATTATCCAAACGAATAAGTTAACGATAGAAATATTGCCCCTCGTGAGCGCGTGACAATGTCAACGTTGCTACGCTACACCTCTTCGGTGGAGTTCAATTATATCGGCGGCCGTGAGGAAATAGAACGCAAAGTTGCACAATGCCGATTCCGAAGGTCCCTTTAAATTATAACTATATACGCACGCTATTTAACCGTGAAGAACGGAGAGGAACTTGACAACGTTAATTACTCAATTATCGCGACTATCGCGATCGGACGAATCCGTCGATTCGTAATACCTCCAGTTGCAACTTCTTAAAGGGTTCGACGGTTGCGAGTTGATGCAATCATCGAACCTTCCACGGCAGCTAAAAACTATATTCGCCAAAACATTTTTTACGATTTAACCAGTTCGACGACGTGTACGATTACGACTCGTTACTTCGCCTTACGATTCAAAAAGTCGCGTTGTTTTGTGATTCCAGGTATTATCAGAAAGAAACTTTCAAGAGGCACGGCCACGGATGCTGTCTCGTTTGAATTGGTTGCAAACGATAGCCCTTGGCTTGCTCGCCGGACTGCTGTGGCTAAGGCTTCCCAGAACCGAGGCGGCTCTTCACGACATCCAGGGCTGGATGTTCTTCAGCACCACGTATTGGATGCTGTTCGCACACTTTGGTGCACTCTCCAGTTGTAAGTTGCCGCCGTTCAAATTGTTTCAGTAGAAAGTTCGATTCGAATTTCATCGCGATATTTTCGGAATAGCGTTCTCGAGACTTCGATCTTCCGGAAAATCAAAAAGACATCGATTGTTCGCGTTCGTAAAAAAAAAAAAAAAGTAACCGCGGACACGTAGAGCCAACGGAACGTCGAGATTCTCAGGTAGTCGGCTCGGCATTGCGCAACTCGCAGAAGCAGATCGAGCAGATTGGTTAATTGAGTCACGACGACGCAGCGAGCTCAATCAGCCATTCAGCGATGCCCGTTTTTTTTTATTGCAAAGATTTGCAAAGGACCAGAGAACGGGTCAATCAAGAATGTTAGTCATGTAGGTCGCGTCGTGACCCACTGAGCGCAATTGAGGCCCTTTTGTCGACGATGCCGTGCAAAACAAGCGTGACGAATTTCAGACGGGGAATCACACTGTCGTACGACGCTCGTCCCGATACGATCCACGGTCAAATTCAACATTTCTTCGCGAGGAAAGTCTACTTCGCGATCTTTTCAATAGCGATTTTACTCGTTCGCGATGTCAGCTTGCTCGTGTCTGAGTATACCTAAATTTCTGCTTCTTATAATAATTTATAGGAAGTGTATTTCTCCGTGCATTTCTCTGACAATTATAAATGTGCAATCGTAAAGCGTCCCCGCAGACGAAACTCAGGGGAGCGAAGCGAGGATGAAAATAGCTAAGTGCTACTTTTAAATTCATCGCGATGAAAATTAGCAGAACCCATCTCCGGGACGATTTCACTGACGCGTCCCTCCGAGAAGAAAGTGCAATAAAGATTCACGCTCGACGAGCGTAGCGGACAACGTCGACGGATACCCCAGCCCGGGCCGGATAAAGGTGACAAATCGTCGGGAACAAAGGGCAGTAAACGATAAAACGGAAAAGTTAATAGGCGCACGGCTATTCCCCGACTATTTTAGGAGCCGCATAACTTAGGCATAGAAGTTCGCCACGGTTCTAGCCTCTGCTCCTTTGACGACCGTGTGGCGTTTTACAATCGTCGTCACTTATCCCCCGTAGAAAGCGAAACGGCCCGGCGAGACGCTAAAAGGGAACTCGAAAAGGACGTCGGTTCCCTTCGAAGCTGTAAAACCGATTTTAGCATCGCCACTGATTCTTCTCTTCCTTCCCTTTCATCAACCCCTTTCGCGGATCTTCCATGTCCGAGCGAGATAAAATTTAAATAAACGAACGTTTATTGTTTATTTCATCCAGTTATCGTAGCGTTCGAGTATTCGAATAGACAAGTACAAATTTCTAGCATCGTTCGACGCTTTCTTCGTTCCCTTTTTATCTTCGTCGTCGAAACGGCCGCTCCGTTTCCGAGACATTTACAGAGATTCCCATCCGCGACAAATGGGTTTCTCACAGAAACGTCCGAGTACCTTCCAGTTTGCCACGTCCAATAAGCTTCACAGGATCCCCTCGGGAGCGGATTTATTCCTACGAAGTTTGTTCCGTGGGTCTGTTCCAATAGTTGTATTTTCGTATTACATATTTCTCGCGCGATCCGAGAAGGTCCTCGAAACGCCCTGGAACATGTTTTTCCTTTTATCCACCGAACGTAGAATCCTCTGAACGTTGTCTCGTAATCGAACGTTTAAATATGCAACTCCAACTAACGGAAATGAAATGTTTTGTTTTTCAGTTCCTCCCGAACGGGAGGTTATCAACAAGGAGCGGTTGTCTGGATCGTATCGGCTCTCTGCCTATTACCTAGCGAAAATGGTCGGCGAGCTGCCGCTTACGATTACACTGCCCGCGGTCTACCATATCATTAGTTACCCGATGTTGGGCTTCCACAGTCCGGCAGTTTTCGTCACTCTGCTGGCGTTCCTCTTACTCAACACCGTCGTCGCGCAGGTACGTCTCGTTCACCTTCTTTGCGAAAAATAAAAATTATTATACGATGATTATTATCAAGCGAACTTATCGCCGACTCTCACACTCTTGCAACTCCGACGCCTCCTCGCGAACACGCGCTTCCGAAACAAAGACATTACGAGACTAGCGCTCACGGTTTCGTTTCCCGGAGTAAAATAGGTACTTCATTTTATTATCCCGCGTGCAAAAGGAAGTCGTAAAGGCTCCAAGTAGAGGTTGTAGTTTTACGCGTATTCAGTGGCCTGAATCCGACCGGAACGCGACTCTCGGGTCAGAGTTGCCACGGAGACTACAAACGACGATAATTAGTCCTTAATAATGGGGTATTAACGACACGGTACGAAACCAACGCGGCGAACACCTATGGGCGTCCGTCCGGTGCTTATGGTCAGCGAATACGATCGCGAGGTTTCCGCGCAACGCGCGTGCAAAGCGTTCAAATAGCAGAAATAGAAGAGTCGAGAACGTTTGTTTACAGAGGGAGAACTTGGACCCGCATGTAAGATAACTCGGTATTCGAATACTCGATAGTACTCGAACGGTGCGATAAACTCGAGATATTTTTCGAAAAAGCATTTTGGATTAATCGGACAGATTGGGATAACAATGTAAAGAACTGTCGAATCGACGGTTTTCGTTGTCGACGAAGTACGAATGGTTGGTATTGCCGTGCCGGCGACGAGTGTCGCGTTGCTCTGACGCAATCGCGGCGAATATTTTCCCAGCGCAAAACATAAACACCAAGAATTTCGCGGTTTCATATTTTTTGTCGTACTTCCCCCCCTTCTCCCTCCCGTCAGCCCTCGACACTGTCCACCTACGGTCAATACTAAGTCATTGTAGCATGAAAGGCGGTCGCGATTTACTTTCAAAACCACCTACCTATTGACGGAAATGAGTAACTCTCGCGTTTCACAATACACGACGTGTACAGTCGCGTTTAGAACCAAGTGCGACGACATAATTCGTCAAAAGTCGTCGGCTCGCGTAGAATATTTGAAAGATTCAACGAGCACTTTCGATTTTAAGCGTACCTCGCGGAACACGATGGCGCGTCTTTCTTGTATTCGAAACGAGCGAGTCTAGCGAAAGCTAAGAATTTTTCGCCGTCTGATTTCAGAGTGTGGGATTCTTTGTTGGCGCCTGCTGTTTGGACCTCCAGGTTAGCATAACCGCGTCCGCGCTCTACACACTCGCGACGCAGTTGCTAGGCGGTTATTTGGCGACGGCGGTTCCACCTTGGCTCGCGTGGGCCAGATACGCGAGCATGGTGCACTATGCCTATCAGAACATGCAAATCCTGGAATTCGGCGTCGGTGAGCCGATCACGTAAGTAGATAAACCCTCGTAGGCGTTCTCGTTCGCGTGTGCCCTTGCCACTTGTTCGACGATTCCAGCCGAGACCCGAGATCTCTCCAAGGATCTCGGTTCCTTTGCACTAATTTGTCAGTTCAAAAGTGTACGTTCGACCTCTAACCCGAACCACTAGTAGTCCCGTCTACACGTAGCAGTGCACGTTTCCTTCGCTGCCAACTTTGTCCATTGATTTTTCCGATTAACCATTCCCCTAGTAGTTTCTACTTACATACGTTAACGTAGACGCGATTACTCATTTGCCCGTACGAACTTTACATTCAGCCTAGACTTTCCATGGAAATTCAGTAACACGCAAACGCGTCTCGCTCTCCGATTTCAACTCGATCCCGCGAATCGATGAGGCTTATTAAATAAAAACCGCGACGGCAGTTGGCGAACGCTCTCCAAGTGTCGCTAATTGCATCGGAGGAACGCCGCGTTTAAATAATAGATGAACTTCAAACCGGGACAGCCCTCATGCATTATTCACTCCTCCGTTCCTAGTCGTTTCAATTCGTCCGACTCGAGATCGTGAAATTCCCCGAGTCTCGTGCGAGACACCCTCCAATGATCCGCGACGACGCGTTAATCGGGTTAGCCGAGGCTGATCCGTTTATCCACGCGAATCTAGAGGCGAAAAAGAAAGCGACGGTTTTGGAAGCGGAAACGGTTCGCGGGTAAAAGCACGAAAAATAAGTACCTCAGTCAGGGTCGCGATGCTAACAAAGATCCGAGAAAATTCTAACGAGTTTCGTTTCAGTCACAACGAGAACTCCATTCTCGCGGTTAACCGAGACCCCTAAAAATTTTTTTGATAACCGTTTTCACCGTATCGACCCGGTACTGTTTTGCGCGACCCGTTAGGTTACGTTAGCATCGTTGGATATACCTCGGACCCGAATCCTACGTGACCCAACGTCGTCCCTCGTCGTTCGCTCGCTGTTCCACCCACCATGGTTTAACGTTTACTTGTTTTACTATAGATGCTCGCAACCAAGCAAGTTTCCGGAGTGCAGGAACGCCACCACGATACCCGTCACCGCGATTCTGGAGAGCCAAGGCGGCGCCAGGGGTTCGGGTCTTCCACTCTGGGCGAACACGGCCGTTCTCTTGGCGTTTCTCGTGGTGTTCCGCACCCTTGGGTATCTGGTGCTCCGTTACTATCGCGTGCCGAAGTGAGTTGTCGCCGCGAGCCAGGACCTGTTGTCACATCGCCTGCGTTCGGACGCTGATCGACGGATCGACGGACGTAGGGCGGGCCCTGCCCGCCGTCGCGACGCTGCGCTGACGGGAACGTCGCCGAGCATATTGACCCTTCGTTTCGTCAGCCGCGAAACGGAACGTAGCTCGCAGAACTGAGAACGAAACTGAGCGCGAAAGTTTATTTTTCCAGGAGAATAGGGTTCAGCTTGGGATTATCCGGGTCGTCGAGGATGGCGCCGAAGAAACGACAGACCAAAGAACGCGTCGATCGATCTTTTCGCGACAAACGATTAACGCCGAGTAGAGCCTTTCGCTCTACTTTGGATTTACGTTGCGATCGGAGTCTACGCAATGAAAACATGAATCACCAGCTGCTTGCGCCAACCGCTACAGCTGCTATTCGAAAGGTGTCCAAAGCTATCTCTGAATCTCTATGTAAGAATGAAAAATGTCGAATCTCCGATCGCGATAGGTATCGTCGAGCGATAATTCGTCGCGAAGCTTCGAGATCGTTCTTTGAAGCCATTCGAGTCGACCGCTGGCAGCACTATTTTAATTAACGAACGATCAGCGAATATTTTTATTAATTGTACATGCATCTCACAGAATAGTATACCTCAACTAGAACCAAGGACACCGGTCATTTCACGAAACGAAGGGTTAAGAGCCGCGAGAACGGGGGGTTGATCGACGAGAACCCCTCGAAGCGGCAAACGGCGACCGAAATATGCGCGTGTATCGCGTCGCTGCCAACACTTTGGCGAAGACTATGCGTAGGATCGTACACGTAGAGACTTTCTATCGATGCTAACGGGGTACGAGGATAGGAGCAAATGGAACGAGCGAACGTGGGAGAGAGACGGTGTGCGAGGTAACGAGAGAACAACGCGCGACTGGTGAGAAACACACCACACACATACACACATATACTTCTTTGTTTAAATTTTCTTGTGGCAAGAAGGGTATAAATAGTAGAAAGGAAAACACGCGAAGAAAAGGGGAGAGTCCGAGTGGGAGCGAGTGTGCTAATAAACGTGAATGAATGGAAGAAAATATACGAGAAGGAGAGAGGGTGAGTAGCACCGCGGGAGAACTTTTTGGGAAAATCGATGTGCGCCGTCGGGGCGCCGCGAAACCGACTGAAAAAAAAAGAAGAAGAAGAAGAAATACAAATACATTTACATACATACATATATATATACACACACACACGTATACATGTATTCGTAAGACGACGAATCATTTCTTAAGCCGATGAAACGAGTGAAATGGACGAAAACACTGACATACATACATGCATACACACCAATGGAATCAACTAGACTTAGAGGACACGTTAAGAGTTTGGAGAAATGAGCCTTTACCGTCTAGCGACTATCCACGCGTTTCTTTTTACTTTTTATTACCGCAAGAAGCAATTGCTACGATTTTACAAAATATTCGCCCTAGCTGGTAAGGTGAACTGCTACTATTCATTGCTACCCTTATACTTAGTACTTTTTATTAGCGACGCTGTAAACTAAGGGACGTGGCAAGACGAACGTTTTTTTTTCTTTCTGTTTCCATTTGATTCCGTTTAACCCTCTATTGCATCACGCGAAAGAAAATGGATCCTTGTGAAATTCACCGAGGAAATTTTACGGGATTTGCGATGCACGATATAGAGGGGGTTCACATGGCTGTGCACATTCAGCCGGTTATCGCCAGAGATGGGTAAAATTCTTGTCTAGATAGAAACGTCGAATATCGAACGAAAAGCGAACAATTTTTCGTTCGATACTCTTAGGATAAAAATTAATGCTTCGAAATAAAAATGTAACCGTTCGGCCGGACGAGCATCGCGAGTAAATCGCTGTACGTTGTATTTATTCGTTGTCCGTTATTCGAATAAAATTTTGCTCGGCTCTGCCTAACGCTTACCTCAAACGTTGATCGCTAATGTATAAATAGTCGAGAAATACTTTCTATCACGAAACCGTAGGATAAAATTCGTGCAATGGAGGGTTAACGGGCTGTGCCAATTCTTTTCGTACGCGAGAAGAGAGCACGATAATCGATCGAGTGTAGGAAAATTGAGAGTAAACGTAGGAGGACGAAGGTGAACTTGTACGAGGCGAGATCGAGAGAGCCGTGGAAGGGTGGAAATGGGAGTACTAGTGGAGGAGGGTTGTAGTTAAATCGTTTTTACGCGTCGTACGCGCGCGAACAGATACATAAATGGAGGCTCGAGAGTTTCGAAGCAGCGGAGGGGTGGTTGCGCGTCGGCTTCGTTTTTCGAGGACCTGTGTCGATTTTTAGAACTTGTTGGTCTCTGACGTATCTATGTGATGTTTTCTAGGAGCTCGATACGTTACGAGTGGGGATCCAGACGAATCTTTAACGAGCGGTGTAATAATTCATTGGCTACCTTGTGTACATAGAAAATTATATATACAAATATTATATATATATAAAACTATAATAATTATTATCATTATTATTATTTTTATTATATTATTATTAATATTATTAATATTATTATTATTATTATTATTATTATTATTATTATTATTATTATTATTATATTATTATTATTTTTAATATCACAATCGCATGTACATGTGAATCTACGGACTGAAAGAGGAGGCATGCGACGTTTTTCTTTTCTCTTTTTCATTCTTGTATATGTACCACCGGGGGAAACGATAAACGCATATACATATATCCACACATAAACACATATACACGCAGACCTGTGTGATCGATATTACCAAACGATTCATCCGATATCTCGTTACACGGGGATAAAACTTACCTCTTCTGAAACATACATACACAAGTACACACGTACACGCGTGTACACTGTCGCCTCTAAGTAATTATTCGTACTCGGCAATTTCTCTTTTATTATTTTTAACGATACGAAAAGTATTTAAGTTTGTCTAGGACACTCGAATCCAAATGTTTCCGTGACTTTTTTGAAAGGACGTTACACAAGGATCAGAAGCGACAGTGTAGAAACACGTACATATACTCGGAAGTCACACCAGGAAAGCCAGTGTTCGTTATAGTAGAAAGTAAATAGTTAGATCGGTCGCGAGTGGAACGCTGTGTTTATAGTCGGCCGACGAGCAACGTTACGATACATTGTGCGACGAACCGGACGACTCGTAGAGTAGCTTTCCTCTTGGACGATTAGACAAATTTTGAGAAACCGTCGCGCGTCAACGAGCCTTGCATATCCTTGTTGGGTCAGACGATAGCGTTGGGCGAAAATATAATGTATGATCATGATCACCGACTAATCCGATAGTCATGATTAATGATTAATGAGTAAGCAGTCACGATTATCTCTAAAATGTTACCAGTTATCGACTCATGATTGCGGATTACAGATGTAATTTTTCATCTGACAATTGTGAGCGATTGTTACAAAAGTAATCGCATAGCAGACATGGACAACGTTATAAATAATAAAAAAAAAAAAAAAAAACAAAAAAAAAGAACATTTGAAATGCAACGTGTTCGATCAAACGAATAACGGATCGAAGGTTGTTCACCTTTTAAATCGTTACTCGAAACTTTTATCCACGCCGAGAGATTTGGCCGTCTCTGTCGCAAAATGAACGACTGAAAGGTAAATCATTGTTTATCCGTTACTCGTTCGATAAAAAGTTAATGTTCGAGTTACAAAATGAAATATTTCACGTTAATGAAATGGCAGTTTAATCGATTTATTCGTTACTCGTTGAATAAAAATTAGACTTCGTGTTACGCAGCGAGATATTTCACAGTGAACAAATAAAAATTGAACTGTTCGATCGAGTAAACATTGTGAATAAATCGCTGTACGTTGTCTCTATTCGTTATCTGTTATTCGAATAAAATTTTGCACGATCTCTGCGCTGATCCAACGACCATTGGCTCTCCGATGAACGCGCGATGGGATTCGTCCGGTGCACGCACAACGCAATATCCACCAAGTGTTCAATCGGGTTCGGTGAGAAGAACGTGGGCGAGGAGGTAGGAACGAAATGAATTATGATACAGGCTAGCGTAAGTGATAACCAGTAGAAAAAGGATAATAAGCGAGGGATAACCCAACGTTTCGACCTCTGGTACTGAACATCCGTCGGAAAATTGTCTTCTACGTCGGCGCGATTATCCTTTTCCTATCGGAGAACGAGTTGCTTCCCAATAGTAGGATTTAATAAGGGGGGATCAATCGGTGAGGAGGGGATGACGAGTGCACGCACTCGCGCGTATCGGGACAAACAACACGGGGGAAAGATGTTTAAACAAAGATTTGGCTGTGTCAATGTCTGTAACTGACTAATTCGTTTGTATCGCTTTCTTTTTTCTACTTAACTGTTTAAACTGTATGCGAGCGAGAGAGCGAGAGAGCGAGCGAGAGAGAGAGAGAGAGAGAGAGAGAGAGAGAGAGAGAGAGAGAGAGAGAATGCTAGAAAAAAGTCGATAGAGGACGAAACTCAGCGCAACGGAAAGGAGCAGCGCACACCGGTTAACAGAGATGGACAAAATTCTTATTTAACAAAAATTCGACTATCGAATAAAAGATAAATCGTTGTACAGAGTTTCTATTCGTTATTTATTATACGGAATTAATTGCGCTCATCTCTACCAGTTAGGAGGAAGAGGAGAGTCGTCGACAGCCGCCGTTCACGAACGACCGAGTGTCTCGAGAAGAAAACACGAACGTCCCCGTGTACCGCGAGGAGAAAACCGCACCACGCGCCGAGAGAAACACTTTTCCGAAACGTTCGACGTTTTCCTCGCTTTTTCTACCATTTGTACACTCCGAAACTCAGCAGAAATTTTCTCCTCGTGGTCGAGGCGGAAGAATCGCTTCCTCAAAGGACCCACTTCCCTCTAATCCTTGTTCCTGGATCGACGGATCCTCGCGTCCAATCATCTATCCGCTTTTGTTTTCCCATCGCCTTCGATGTTTCTCCTCTGCAGCGATATCAGGCAAAACGCGATTTATCGATGACGACCGAAGACGAATCTCTTACTCGGTCGTAATTAGCTCCAAATAATTACAAACGTAGTTTACCATTACCGATTACCAGGACAAAATAATCGGAAACCAGTAGGCGGCCAAGTCTTGGCCCGCGGGAGGACGAGAAAGACGTCAGTCGAACGGATCGCATTTTCATACCGCGTAGGTGTCTTTTCAAAATTTTGATACTCGTATTGTATTGTATACACTCTGTACACACCGTTCCGACATTTATATACCGTTTACAAATCACCAGTTTCGAGCTCGAAGAAAATCGAGCGCCGATTCGAACCAACTCTTTCGCGATTACGACGTTTTCGTTAAAAATCACGATTCGACTATCCGTAGACTGGAACATTTTCGGATCGCAAGCAAGACTCGTATGAATTGTATTGGTTCGAGTCGCGCTACAACGGAGCACGAGATTTCCTCTCGACTATTAGATTGTAAATAATAAACTAGCCGAAATTTAACGTAGAAAAGTGTCTCGGAATCTCAAGAACTCGCGTGCATTCACATTCCTGACGATGCTCGTTTTCGATCCGCGAGAGGACGCAAACGATGGATTCTCGATGGACGCTCAGCGTTCGAGAGAGCTAATCTTCGGTCGCGAGCCACCACTCGAGACCATTTCGATGTCTACACACGCTTTTTGCACTAAAATACAATAAGACTGAGGTTTTTTTATACGCGTTGACGGGATCGAACGACGTCACCGCGATTATCTATTCGCGAGCACCGTCGTTGGCAGGACTCGAGGTGGACGTAACACAGCCAAACTCTCTCCTAACGATACTTTACGCGTTTTTCTAGCTCTGGCTTCTTCTTCGCGAGCGCGAGTCGATCGATTAACGAGAGACGGATATCTCACTTTTGGGGATCGCTTTCGGGAATTTGATGGATTGATCGTCGGACTTTTGGATTAGGAGACCGCGGACGTTTTAGATATTTCGAAAGGGGAACGCGATCGTTGGTCTTTGGAAGGTCAGTGGTCCTCGGTTCGCTGAACTGGCGTCTCCCGAGGAACAAAAATTGGATGATGAGACGTAATAACACGCGATCGTTTCACTGGTTGACAGGCGCGAAGAGCTCGATTATGCTCGACCGCTGGAAGTTGGGAAAGGGGAGGACTCGGTTCGTTCGTCCGACCGAATCGGCTCCGCTCCTTTCGCGTTTCGGGCCTCGGAGAAGAACAAAACGCAAACGAAGAGACCAGTGGGAAAATTAGGGTGACAAGACGTAATAACACGTGACTGTTTCGCTTTACAAAAATAGTGCCTTTTTTTACAAAGACTCTGTTGTTTGTGCCAAGTCGAATTCAACGGATGCGAATGCGTACACTCGCGCGTACACACAGACACACACATACACACGCACACCTACACACGTAGACGTATATTTACAGGGCGAAGAAAGGTGAGCGACGTATGGGCAGAGGGAATAGATTTAAAGAGGACGCGAACGAGTCGAAAGTAGAGTGTATAAGAGAATCTCGATTGGCGGGAAAAAAAGAAACGCACGCACAAGTACACGAACACACGCAAACACACGCGGCCACGATATACCGAGAAAGAGAACGTTGAGAGAGAACGAGCACGAGGAGAGCACGAGCGAATGGCAAGGAAAGAGAAATAGTGCGCACCGAGAGCGAGACAGGTACGTTTTCTCGCGAGATGGTAGAAAATATGTAACGCGGGACTAACGAAACAAGAAGAAAAAAAATATGAAACAAACAAAAAAAAAAATGCCAAAAAGTGTTCCACTAATCAATTGCCGCCGTGGATCCCCAATTAGTACCTACCGTAAATCGAATGAAATTACGAATAATTAATCGAATTTGCAGAATCGTGCTAAAGAAGATGAGATGAAAGAAAAAAGAGGTTAATATATATGACTCTAATTATGGTTATATATTACGTATAGGTATGTATGTGTATATGTATATGTATATATACGTGTGTATATACATATATGTGTATATATATACATATATAATATGTGCGCGAGCGTGGGCGTACATGTACGAGTATACACGGTCGCATACGAGCGCAAGGAGCACACCGACAACGCGGCACGATTTCTTTTCATTTTTTCTTCGCACGCGTCGAATCGTAATTAATTAATTACGTACCGAACCGAATCGACACCGAATCATCAGTTTCTTTTCTTTTTCCCGTCAACGGATAATGTCTCGCGAAAACAAAAAGGAAACCTTCAGACTGTGTACGACTAACAACTATTGTATATACGAATCGTATAAAATATACATACGTATACATATATACATATATAAATATATATTATATTAAAACGGATAATAAGACACTTAGAGCTAACAGAATTGCCCCCTCCCCCTCCCCATTATTACGCGAGATGATATTAGTTATCCGATAGTATTATTACCTGTTGTCCCGGTAGCGTAATAATTACCTACTATTCCCCAACACCCGACGCCCACACCTTAGGAGGAAAATTGAAGAGGGAAAAAAGGAATAGAAGAAGAAATCGTTATCTACCGTTATCATACTTTGAGTTTACCGATAAATCGTTGAATAATGAATATTGGTATAACGATAAGGATTATTATTATTATTATTATTATTATTATTATTATTATTATTATTATTATTAATATTACATTATATTATATTACATTATATTGTACCGTCATCGATATTATTATCGTCAGCGTCGTCATTGTCATCGTCGTAGTCGTCATTGTCGACCTTCATCGTTCATCGTCGCGAAATTATCCTCACCGTTCCGAACCTACACTATCATATTTCCGATCTATCCCAACCGTTTCTTTCTTTATCCTGTTCCCTAGAGGCTGCGCGTGCACAGCCGTTTGCCTTCCGGTTGCATCGTCGCGTCGAGCTTCTACCTTCGTCGCTGTTTCTTCGCGAGATCGATCACGATCGACAGACGATTCGCGATCGCTCGGCATCCCTCGCGACGAGACGGAAGATATCGGCAATTCGAGTTTAGTTTCTCGAGTGAAAACCCTCGTCTTGTATTTCCTCTGGTGGAGGTCCGAGCTGGAGCAACCGAGTAGCTGTAGAGCGCGACAAGGGTAGCTTCTCGACTCTCGACAACCTCTGAGTATAGCGACCGATATCTTCCGTCTCGACCGCAATCTCCATTGGTCGCAGAGCTATCGTCTCGTCGCACGATGCTTCCCAGGTTGAACGGCAATTGTAAGGCAACGGTTGGGAGAAGCTGACATTGTTTTCGTGTCGAGGGACATCGCCGAGGGGTCGTCGATGCGTTGCACGCCTGGAGAACGTACGTCGGTCCCTTCCGCGCGTTTTTTCATTTTTCTAGAGGCATTGTACGAACCGTGAATGTATGTAGGAAGGCACCGGTGTACGAGAGTTTCCGGAAAGGAAAGACGGGACACGTTGATCCGGGTGTCCCATCTTTTCTCGGAAAAGGGTCTTCGGCGCGGGTGACGCGTCAGAGTTCTTTCGCGGGACGGTTCCTCCGTCGAAGAGTTGTTAATCGAATTAGACTGATCAGGGATAAAATTCGGAGAGACTCCCGCGAGAGTCTCTGGAGATCTTATGGAAGAGTCCCGAGGATACCGTGGAATTCCGTGAGGATCTTGAGTGCCGAACGGAGGAACAATGGATCTCGATCGACGATCGTTGTCGATTCGCGCGAGAAGAACAGCGGGCTCCTGTTATCGATGTTATCGTCCCTCCGTTGTCCCTCGATTTCCGTCGCTCTGGGACGTGCGTATGTATGCTCGGTGAGAGCAGCGAGTTCGAATCGAATCGAACGATCGACGTTGATCCCGTCGTGAAATCTCGTTTTTTGTTTTATCATCGACGAATACCCGAGCGACGATTAACTCGCAATTACTCATAATCGAGCGCCGAGGAGTTCGTTGGATATTGTTTTTGCATATCGCAGGAAATACTGCCGGAGACATTAATCGTTGCGCAAAACCTCGTGGCGGATACTGTCTGCGAATACGATTTTATCATGTAATCTGTCGACGAAACACTTTGTTCGCAGTTTATAGACGCCTTAGACTTACAGTCTCTCGGTTTATTTAATTTGTAAATAAATCACGATTTACTCAACATTAATCAGCTATTATTTCTTGCTTTCCCCAGCATGCTACGTATAGATTTTCGATTGCGAAAGTCTGATGCTGATCTGTTGAAGAACCCTGAGAACGTCTTCAAGGTGTTTCACGTTATACATGCATATATGGGTCGAACTAATTTTGGAAGCATAGATCAGAACCAAAATTATAGTTACTGTCAGTGGCGCCATCGGTGGGAGAACGTCCAAGTTTGTAGCCAAAATAGTTTAGCCATCCACTGCTAGATGGCGCCACAAATTCAATTCTTTATTTATTCGTGTATTTTCTTTCTGTTTGCATGTTTACATAATTCTATGCCATCACAACGCTTATATGCAATAACTTGAAAGAGTAACGTTAGATTTATAACCTGGAATTTGATTAATCGCTTTGTCAAACGAATTATTTACCTAAACTGAATGTAGCGCCATCTTACCGCAAACCGTCCAAGTTTTTATCAAAATTAGTGAAATTCAATAATTCCTTTGCTGAAGTTATAGGTTCGGAGTCGTTTCTCTAGCTGAATATTAACATCGCTGTATCTGTAATATGATTAGAAGTTCACCTCAGAATATAATAAGAAGAAAAATTTTGTATAAAAGTTAGTCAGGTATCAGTGGTGCCATCTAGCGTTTAGAATTGTGAACTATTCGGTAACAAACTTGGTCTCTTTTCCACCGATGGCGCCACTAGTAGTAATTTTAAAATTTTTAAATGTTTGCCGCCAAGAGTTCTGATGAAAGCTTGCAAAATTAGTTTGGCTTCGACCGCGAAATGGCGAAATAATAATAATAATAATAATATGAAGAAGAAGAAGAAACAGAAATGGAACACAGACGGTAACGTTTCGTTTTATTTTACATACTATTCGTATAATTCTGGGGTTAGAGTCAGAGCCCCTCAATTTAAGGCGTTTAATTACATATCACGACATTGGTTATTCCTCGGAGACTTCGTACGATTTGTGAATTACACGCCACTTTTTATTTCTCTATTTCTCTTATTTTCCTAAGACGTTTCGATTAAGCATATTTAAAAAATGAAACAAGGATATCGAGACTGATTTCAAAGATTCTCCTTCGTTACGTTATTCGTAAATTTTCTCCATTTTTACGATAACGTTTCGTCTATGTAACGCATGCCAGATATTAATCGCTCCAGATACGGTAAGTGCAGTAAGCGGCTAAACCTGCTCGGTGAGTTCCGGAAGCTTCGAGGTTCGCGGTGATCTCGTGGTTAACCGCGATGGTTAACGTTCCCTTGCGCACTAGCCTCTTACGTGGTCGTGTTAAAATCATCCACGCCGCCAGAATGCAGGATAATTAGTTCCAGAGTATCAACGTGTGTTCATAATGGCCCTCTCGAGAGTTTCGTTACGAGTCGTTACGACCGTAACGTTCTTTTTACGACAACCGAAAGGAAAGCTTCCGAGGCGCGCCCATAGAAAGTATTTTATTAACGACAACAGTTTCTAATCAACAGACTCCCATGTGAACAAATTTACAGACTTCGCGAACACGCAAGAGTTGGAGAGATTGAAAATCTAATCAACTAAACTAACTGATCGCGAACCGCCACCTGCTGTACCATACTTAATGATTTTCCGTGGACAGGACATTTCTTTTCTCAGAAAAGAATAGAATTTTTTATAACGATAAATGCACAGAAACCATCCCCACTGCGGACCGCTAATACCAGCTACGGCTCCTGAATGTTGTCCCTGCTAATCTAAATCTAATTTCACTTTACACTTTACACTTACTCGTTCCTCATGATCTCCTCATAAAAAAGGTAAGTTTCAAGCAAAAAATAAAAATAATGATACCAACTCGTACATTACGTTCTCCTGATACAAGAGGTAAGTATTGATATTTAATTAAAAGTTATGCTACTTCTTTGAGTATCATGTTCTTCTGACACTAAAATGTGAAGTTTCCTCAGAATTTCGATACGTACCCTGTATTTCTCGTGCCACCTCTTCCCATAGTCGCACATGAACGAAACATACCGAAAAAGAGCCCCTTGAATTAGGCAACCTGCACTGGCGGCAGATCTGTCGGACCGGTTGCCTGTCCGTAGGCGCAAACGTGCCACCTCTTCGCGCATCATGTACTCCTGACACCAAAATTCAAAATCGGCCAGAATTCTGAAATGTACCGAAAATTAGCCCCTTGAATTAGGCGGCAGATCTGTCGGACTGGTTGCCTGTCCGTAGGCGCAAACGTGCCACCTCTTCGCGCATCATGTACTCCTGACACCAAAATCCAAAATCGGCCAGAATTCTGAAATGTACCGAAAATTAGCCCCTTGAATTAGGCAACCTGTACTGACAGACATGTGGGACCGGTTGCCTGCCCGTAGGCGCAAACGTGCCACCTCTTCGCGCATCATGTACTCCTGATACCAAAATTCAAAATCGGCCAGAATTCTGAAATGTACCGAAAATTAGCCCCTTGAATTAGGCGGCAGATCTGTCAGACCGGTTGCCTGTCCGTAGGCGCAAACGTGCCACCTCTTCGTGCATCATGTACTCCTGACACCAAAATCCAAAATCGGCCAGAATTCTGAAATGTACCGAAAATTAGCCCCTTGAATTAGGCAACCTGTACTGACAGACATGTCGGACCGGTTGCCTGCCCGTAGGCGCAAACGTGCCACCTCTTCGCACATTATGTATTCCCGATACCAAAATGTAAAATTTCCTCAGAATTTCGATACGTACCATGAATTCCTCGTGCCACCTCCTCGCATATCATGTTCGTCTGATACGAGACTAAAAATTTGGCGTGACTTTTAATTGAATATCGATACTTACCTCTTGTATTAGCAGAACGTGTTGATCGAGGAGGTATCACAATTATTATTCTGGCTCAAAACTTACCTATTGTATCCGCATTACACGTTTGCGCTTTACAACTTAAGCACTTTACAGTTTGCACATTTTATATCTAAAGATTTTATTACAAGTTCGCAGCCATTAGTTCTCGGTATTATTCGCGACGAACAATCATTCGTCGCGAATAATACCGATTTCCAGGTCTCACCACGTGGAGGTTGCTGCGACTGGAGACCCAGAGATAGAAGTAATCAAAGTTCCTTCGATCTCCCTCTACATAAAGTATACATACGTAGAAAACAAAGAAAACAAAGTCTCTTTGATTTCCAAAGTCCACGTCTGACTCTGCCAAATAATTATTCGAACTAAGAGGAGTGAAGTTAAATCGCGACACGACGCGACCATGAAACTGGACTTACAGAGTCAGTCCCGTTTCCTCTGGTGGGTCTGATTCGAGAGAAAGACGATCAACGTCTCCGCCAGTACTGTACTCCCTGCATACCTTGGGGGTTTAGCAACCATAAAGCCATAGAGAGGGTAGTGGGCCTCGACCTTCGACCATACAGTACAGTACGATACTATATGATCGAAGGTCTCAACAGACTACTGGCATCTCTAGTAAAGATGCTAAAGAGTTACGAAGACAGTAGATCGATACGTCAGGTGTTACAGTCAAGTTACTCGACCGACTCGCACCCTTATAGATATAAATATAATATAATATAAATGTAATACAATCACTTCGAGTAAATAATTACCTTCAAAATTTGTGAACCCAGCGTAAAAATTACGTGTAGGAGGGTCGCGCAACCCCCGACGCGTGCGATCGACGCCTTTCCCTTCGTCGAGCCTCGAGGTAAGAAGAAGGTACTTCATCCGCGGCTCGCGTTCTCCTCGCGCGGCCCCAGCAGGCCTAGGTGTCGGTTTGAACGAGGGTAGCGTGCGTAGGTGACGGTTTTCGAGTGTCGACCAGGGTGGAGGGTTAAGAAGGTGGATGTACGTTGCTGGTGGCGGGTGGCAAGGGTCGGTGGGGGTATCGCAGGTTTGGTGGGGGTTGGTACCCGTCGGGTATCCTAGTCGGATGCCAGAACCGCGGTGGAAACTTCAGTGCGCGATCAACTACCGACGTGCGTTTACGGTCGGAGCTCCAGCGGAAGCTGCGAGGCCTGGCTGCTGCGGGGGGTGAGAATTTCTTTTATTTCTTCGCGTGTCTGTCATTCGATCGTCGTCCAATCGCCACCGTTGCGAACACGAATTATCGCGTGATCGTCGCGGTACAATTTTTAATTGGAGCCATTGTTTGAAAGTCAGACTCGTGCAAGTGAATCGTGACTCGAGAGGCGCTCCAGAGGGCGAGGGAAGCTGCTTCCTGGAACGCAACGAATCGCCACGTGTTCTTAACGTCGGCGTCGGTCCGCCCGCGACCTGGGTTGCATGCAATCGAGACCGTTCCTCGGGGAATACGATTTTAGTGATAGTTTGGGCCTTTAGTGCGGGGATCCTTGGGGACTTGAGCGAATCGAGTCGAGTGGAGAGTGCGAGACGTAGAAGACAGTTTTGAATGGGAAATTGTTGTGAAGGTTTCGATGAGTGTATCCCTGTTTTGCGTTTTCAATCAATTCTGTTGTTGTACGTGCGATTTAATCGGATGTAAGTTTCGGGCTGGTGGATTCGATGTATCGAAGACTGTTTTACGCGCGTGACGTGTTGATTGCGAGCTTTAATTATATTTTTCTCGAGTTGGAAAATTGAAATTATCGTTTTGATCTCGAAGGAGAACGTTATTATTTCGAGTAAACTTTTTGTCTCGGAGTTGGGTCTTGTTTGGTAAAATCATAGCAAGTAAAGAAAAGTTATCGTTACGTACGTAAATAAATTAAAAGTAATTTCGCGTCGAATACGCAGGTATCACTTCTGGAATATGTCCCCCTAACACGTCGATGCATCGAGTTTGTAGCGTTCGTTTATTTTCGCTACTTTTTACCCTTATCGAGAAAGTCCCCGAGAAGTTGTTAAGAAGTTATCAAGTTCAGTGCCTCTTCAGGGTCAGGATGTCGATATCGAGGACTCCTCCCATTTCGCTTTATCTCATTTCCTCGCAAACTTTCACGATACATGTCGTTACGTTTTTTCTTTTTTAGTAGGGCGATAGCGTGAAA